CCCATTCAAAGGATTTTCTTTTCAAAAAATTTTGAACCGAAATATTGAACGTTGTAAGTGTGAAAACAGCGCTCGCGGAAAAAAACGCCTTTGGCTCAACTATGCGTCTGATCTGGAAACCAAAAGCATATTCGTGTAGGGGAAAGGTGTCCGGAGGGCAATTGATCAGGCCGGGAGCCGCGCGATCAATATTTGTACGTTTGGTGAGGTGTTCAAAACCGACTACTTTCGCTCTTTTCTTTGACGCTAACCCAATGACACTAATTATTGTCGGATTACTTTCAGACTGATCAATTGCCCTCCGGACACCCTTCCCCTACACGGATCCGTTTTCGGATTCGCTGTACCTATCATAGTTTTTGCGTAGGCGTTCTTGCCGTTTCACTCAGTTTTCCGTCCTTTTCACACGTTTTGAATTTGGCGGTCGAATCCTGAGGCATCGGAGGGTGGTGCGGCGGAAAGAATCAGAACTGCGTGCAGGACGGCCGAGTCGGTGCGACACGTTTATGATGGACACCTCGCTGCATTCCGATCTATTGTCTCCGCTCCGTCTGCCCCCTCCCCTCCCCCCGCTGGAGACGCAGCCCAGGACCGGCGGCGCGCTCGGCCACTGGGGCAGCCCCGGAAGGGCCAACAACAGGATTAGGCCGCGGACACTACCCGTTCATTTTGCACTATTGGGATAAATTTATATACCCCTGGCACCGCGATGAGACGAGGAAAACGACTGAAACAAGTTTGATTTGATAAATTTGAAATCTCAGAAGTTCACCCGTTGCTGTGCTCATGCTGAGTGACACCTGTCAAGCTGTCTTTGTGCACTTTGACGAGGGTGCCGGTGCTCGCCTCGGCCGCACCGGCAACTACACTGCCAAATCAGGCGGCATTGACACGAAGATGATGCACAGTGAGGATAGGACTCACCACCCCCAACAAGGACCTTTTAATTTTTTGGAAGTACTCGACTGTGGTGCCATCTCTCGGTAAAGTGCTACACTGCCTGAACTGCCTGAACGAAAATGGCAAGGTGAGCGATTCTCACGTTTCGGGGTAGTTTCGTTTCTTCTGACTCCTGTGCCCAAACGAGCGCAGATATCGACATGGGGTTTGTTTCTGATGTTAGGGAGGGCCATTGCCCACTAAACGCACACATTTCGAAAAGTTCACGTTCGTTGGGTTGGTCTACGTAACGTTTGGAATACCCTAAATGTAACTTCCGTGATTGTCCAAAGAGAACATACTCGTACTTTCCGCCCCCAGTGTGGCGGTGTGGTTCGAAAATGCTGCCAACTGTCGACGGGGATTCGAAGCTTGGCATGTCTCGAGCTAATTTCAACCGAAGACCAATACGCCAGACTTCTTTCAAAGGTACTTATGCTGCAACGAAAAATGTCCACCGTATATTCAATTTCACTACACAAATTTCGAAAAGGCAGCTCTGGACTTCTCCCCAAGCCAAACTTTTAACTTTCCATGACACAAGCCATCAAAGTGGAGTCCCTGGGATATAATTGCATGGGTCGCGGAAATCTAAGATGCTGTACACGGTCTCAAAGCGGGCTAGAGCATTATAAAATGGCGTGTATCAACAATTACCTGTAACTTCCGTGGCACCCTTTACCCAATGTTGCAGCAGCACTAGGTGAAAAAATTTTCCGCTTAAATGTCGGGCTTAGAGTATCATTTGACCCTGGAACAACTTTTAAGCCACAGCAAGCCCGAGTCAGCCGTTAAAGCCGATTTTCACACTTTGTAACTTCCGTGATAACGTAATTTCCGTGGTCAAAACACCCACTAAAACGTATGGGGATACCTTATGGCTCATGGTTTTAGGAAGGTAGTACAAGGTCTTTACTATAAATACCATTGCCATAACTCTAGTATCATCCTGGACCCCAATAATCAGAAAAACTTAATTGGATATTTCTCACTTTCGGCAAATCAGAGACGCCAAAACTACCCCGAAACGTGAGAATCGCTCAGGAGTATTCGCATGAGAGGACTCCGGTCAATACAACGGTCTAAGTTCCTTTAGCCGTTGCTTGGACCCCGGTCCGCGATCTCGCACCTTAAATGTTCGTTGTTGCAGTTACTGTGAATGCTTCATTGACATTTTCTGAATTTCTTTCAAGACCCCAGTCAGGGTGAAAATAATGCGCACACCTCCTTCCATTGGACACTGTGCTATTCCAAATAAACGGCTGACTTATGATGGAGGTAAATGAGGGTGTACAGTATTAATATTATCACATATTATTGGGCCACATTTGTGACATTTTTCTAATCTCTGGTGCATCGTTGCAGGAAACATTTCTTCAATGTCGAGTGTGTCCTCAGATACTCGGGAACAAATTGCTGCTCTTGATCAGAATACCGCGGTCATGAGGGAGTTAATCAATGTGCTTAAGAGATTGGGCTCCTAGTTTTCATTGTTCATTTTTCAGTCCATTCTGATTATCAGTTTTTTTTGCACAAGTTTCATTTCTGGAAGATCATTTTTTATTTGTTACCAGAAGTATTGGTAACCCCCCCAAGATTGCTTGGTTTCCTACTTTAGTTATTTTTGCTGAGCGAAGCGAAGCACCCTGTTTGGGATTTTGAATAGCTCATTTGTCCGACCCCCCCCCCCCCCCTGATACCTTTAGTTTACAAGAGGTATCTTCCTCTGTTTATTTTTACTATATTCATATGCGTATACATAGTCGAAGCTCCATAGTCCAAGCTCCATAGTCCAAACTCTATAGTCCAAACTCTATAGTCCAAGCTCCATAGTCCAAGCTCCATAGTCCAAGCTCCATAGTCCAAGCTCCATAGTCCAAGCTCCATAGTCCAAGCTCCATAGTCCAAGCTCCATAGTCTAAGCTCCATAGTCCATCCATACTCTATAGTCCAAGCTCAATAGTCCAAGCTCCATAGTCGTACGCCAAGCTTCATAGGCCATTTAGTTTGAGAATAAGATCTGTCGCGAGTAGGGTATGATCTTTCGCGAGTAGAGGAAGATCTGTCACGAGCCCGTTAGGTTAGGTTAGGATTGGTTGGACCATTTAGTTTGAGAATAAGATCGGTCGAGAGTAGGGAAAGATCTGTCACGAGTAGAGAAAGATCTGTCACGAGCCCGTTAGGTTAGGTTAGGTTGGACCATTTAGTTTGAGAATAAGATCTGTCGAGAGTAGGGTAAGATCTGTCACGAGTAGAGTAAGATCTGTCACGAGCCCGTTAGGTTAGGTTAGGATTGGTTGGAACATTTAGTTTTAGATTATTAAATAGCCTTCCGTCGATTCAAGGAGAAACCAACCATTGCCGAATCACAATCCTTCGCGCAAAAGCATACTTCCTGGCTATCACCCCCCAAAAAGAAAAGAGGCTCATTTTCAAAATAAACACATCCAAATTTACTACTGATGAAAATGCATTTCCATCTCCAGCAGAATCAAGCTCAGCATCGAGGCCGAAGGCCTTCCCCTGGCTAGTATTTAATTTTGTAGATGAATGCTTTACTATTCAGTGCACATTCCCATACGTAAATAATGTTGGAAGATCCATCTATGTTCTAAAAGCTACTTTTAGAATTTTTGGATGTGAGAGATATTTTTATTTGTTTTGACTATGTGAGTAATCATGTTTAAATTGTTACCTTCCAAAATGGTATCCATAACACCAAGGGAGATGTCCACTCGTGGGTGCTTCTGCAAACCCAATGTTCTATGGGATTAATCGTTCCTATTCTGTAAGAAAGTTTTTTATGCGAGTGATTTTTTAATTGTTTACTAGTCAGAAGACTGATCTTGTTTCATAAACATTTAAATAAACATTTAATTTTCTTATTTCTCAGTTGTTTTTTTAAAATGCTGTATTACCTTAAAAACTAGTAGGGTACTTCACAGAAAAAACATTGGAATAGAAAATACTTTAATTCAGCGGAAAGCCATTCACATACAAGAAGTAAATACTGCCCTGGTACATTATCAAAACAGTCATTGTTCAGAAAGAAAAATGCAACTACAGTACAATGCAGTGCACAAATACCATAGAGCGTACAATACAGAGTACAAATACAATACTGGAGACCATGTAATGGTGGTCCAAACCAATGGAACAAATCAAGGAAAGAAAATATCAATGTTAACATTCATTCCAAACTGAAAGAACAAAAGAAAAAAATAAATTGTATTCAAATCAAACTGATGGTCCATCTCTCCAATGCTTCAGTGCACAATACAGAGTACAAATACAAAACACTGGGAACCATTCACTGGTCATTTGACAAAGTGGCGTAAGTCCACCAGAAGTCAGATTCTTTCTTTGTAAACATTTTTCGGTGCAGCTACTAATCAGAAACGCCTTCAGAATCATTGCAGATTTTGTTCTATATGTACATCTGGCCACTGTGCTTGGTATAGGTACGATCCCAATGATAAGTAATCAAATTTACCTCATAACAAATGCCTTTTAGATAATTACAGTGAAACTAAATTTTCTTTCAAAGGCATTTTGTTAAAGGTAAATTTGATGACTTATCATTGGGACCATATCTATACCAAGCACAGTGACTAGATGTACATATAGAACAAACTCTGCAATGATTCTGAAGGCGTTCCTGATTAGTGGCTGCACCGAAACATTTTTACAAAAAAAGACTCCAACTCCTGGTGGACTTACGCCACTTAGTCAAATGACCAGTGAAATAGTCCAAACCAATAGAACAAATCAAGGAAATAAAATCTCAATTTTAACATACATTTGGAAGTTAAAGAACGAAAGAAGGAAATAAATTGTCTTCAAATCAAACTGATGGACCATCTCTCCAATGCTTCAAACAGCTCCTTCCTTACAGCAGTATTTTCATTGATTGCTCGTTGCAGATTCAGTGCCTGGGAAGAAGAGTCAGTTGACGCTGAAGACATGTTCCCTGCAACAAACAAAATACCACAGTTCAGTCCCAAATGTTGTATAAAAAGTCTCAGAACCATTACCATAGTGGAGACCAACACATTACCTTCGTCATAATTAAGCCATTTCTTAGAAACAGCACCAGGTCCAGCACCACAAGACAGTGCTTGCAGAACTTGCTTTCGGATGACTGGGGTCTTGAAAATAGGATATCATAAGAGGTCAGGTGTAAACAATTTTCAATTTTAGTCTTAACTTCAGAAGCTTACTTCCATACTTACATTCTCAACACTCATAAGTGGTTCACAAACTTGTTCCTTGGTGTTCTCCCTACTGATCACGATGGCCTTGGAATTCACAGCCTGTCAGGATAAACAAATAAAATAACGATTACTGAAATACCCATTCATTAATAAAAACATAATTTGAAACACAACAAATTTTTATGCATGTTTACCGCAATGCTTTTGGAGCCAACAGCACTACTCCTCTCAACTTTCACTGCAACTTTCTTTGAAGCAAAAGCCTTTGCCTCAATCCCTCAGAAGTTACTCTGCACAACAAGACAAAACAGGTTAAACAGCAAATTGACAATTGAGCAAGCAGGTACGGTCAAAGCACTTGAAAGTCAGAATAACTGCAATAGTAAGACTGATGTAGACAATAGAAGTATTAAGGTGAGGGGGTTGGAAATGCCATACCCTGAGCCCCAGACTTCTCAGAGTGAAGGGTATTAATTTACTTCAAGATGCAAAGTTACACACCAAATGTAGTTTAAATTCATTAACCTGTTCAGCCACAGTGGAATATTCACAATTAATGCAATAGCATATCTCAGAAACCACCTGTGCATGCAATTTTGATGGTCGCAAATTTGTTTTGGAGGTTCTTTCAACCCTATTCTACTAGTTACAGAGAGACAATTCGTTATTCCTTATGTGGATCATTAACAGAGGTTATGTAATGTCAATTTCCAAAAGATGTACAAGTTTAGCCTTTTTTTTGCCTATAAGAAAATTTGTTTCACTACACGAGAACAATACCTGTCAATTGAAATGTCTCTCATTAACTTTGTTGTCTTTACAAGAAAGGTCTTCAACACAAAGTTTGACCTACATAAATCAAAACTGAATGCGCAAATGAACTTTAGAGAACAAAAAAAATTTTTTGAAGGAAATGAAGTGAATGCCAGCTGCATGTCCAACATGCAGACACCCATTGAAACACTTTTCAGTAACAATTCAACTTTGACTAATGTAATAAAACTTAAAGAAAAAATACATCTCAAATGAGGGACTTTGGAAATTTTTTTTTTCAAAGTAATCCAATTTTGGAATTTTAGCTGTTGTTAGCCACATTAACACCCACACCTCACCTTCACATAAGTTCCTACAGACAAGGGAATGAAAATGAAAAACACTGTCACAATGATTTGAAGAAGATCAGCACCAAAATTTCCATGGTGACAATTACATTGCTGGTTTTAACTCACATTCTGGGTAGCCTTATTGTTGACACTTCCAACATTTTCTTCCTTTGCTTCATGTTGGGCTGCTCTCTGGGTAGCTTCATTCAACTGCAACTGCAACTGAAAGGGATGGTCAAATTAATCAGTGTTTCAATGGAAATCAAGCCCGCAAAGAGAGATTTGTTGACTAATTTTGCTTACAAGCCCGCACATGAAATGTGCGTAATTTTTAAAATTCTATGAACATGGCAGCCAAGATAAGGAATGTCATTGACTAAAAAATTTGCTTTCAGTGGGAAAAATGCATCGACAAACCACGGGTAAGTAGTACATGTCCATGAGAAACGAAGCATAATTATGATGGTACCTGCAGAGGATTTTGGGCTCCAGTTCCAACCGCTGCCTTGATTCCAGTAAGTTTCATCACATCAACGTGAAGTGGTTTCAGTCCTAACCCGACCAACTCAGGAGCCGGTCCCCCACCAGTTCCACCCATGTACTTGGCTTTTTCTGCGTATGCTTTTCTGGCAATTCCTTTCAGCTTAGTCCAACCCTATAATTGAGAAACAGATCACAAAACATGACGTTAGAGTACATTCAAAAATTTTTCTTTTGTCAAATTGAAATGAAAAGAGAATCCAAAATTTGTACGGCATCATACTTTTTTCCACAAAGTTCCATTTCTATTAGCTCCGCCCGGAATGCTGTTGCAAGTGGCAGCGATAGCTTCCCATTTGTTCTGGACAGATACAGCCCCAAGGGGTCCAGTGAACTCTCCATGCAGCAGCTCAACATCATTGCTAACGGCCAGCATCAGTGCCTTCCACTGTGCATATGATGCCTTTCCCGGCTTATTTTCTTTCGCAACATTGGCCACTGAACCTTGCAAAGGTCGAACAGCCTGTGGGGCTTTCAGTGCTCTCAGGCTTTTCAAAGCTTTGCCTTTAGCTGCTTTTGCAGCTGTGGGTGCCTTTGCCCCTCTAGGCGCCTTTCTACCTCTGGCTGCATTACCTGGAACACAGTTATAAGGGGATATCAAGATGTGTTGATAAGGGCAATGATGTGCAAGACGTATCAACAGTTTCAATTTAATGTAATAAACAATCAAACACACAACGAAATTCACTTGCAACGTGTGACTGAAGTGGGATAAAAGCACCCCAAATGAAGTTGAAAATGAAGACCCAATTGACTGACTTAAAACTTCGAAATATTGAGCACTGCGTACTGTGATGGTAGGGTTATGTATTACCTAGCGCAGAAGATTGAACCGAAACAAAGGCAACCACATTTATGTTATGACACTTACCCATTATCGCAATGGAGTGCAAAATTGGCGATCCACAACAGAAAATTGAAAATTCGGCCTCCTCCCTTACTTACAAACTGCAAAGACAATGAAACTCGGGAACGTGAAAACGAAAAACTGATGAACTGAAACAAAAGCAGTGCGCTTGCTTAGGGTATGAGAATTTTTCGAAGTGTAAAACTTCGTTTCGTACCTTGCAATTTTTCGTACCTTCTTGTAGAAGGGGTGAATAAAAAATGGAAATATAATAGACAGACGTCATTTCATTTGATGTCTGCCAATGTTTGCATGCTATGCATATCCAAATTTGCTTCACCACAAATTACAGCCAACTCAAAGTAGGTGAGTTGTGATGCTCACAACTTACTGAAATGTCGCAACGATTTGATTTAGTATATCGGTGTCAAGTTTTATTACTTCAGTGTCGAGTGATTGTGAATGGAAGAGGTTTAAACCTTCCCTTTTCTTGCTCATCCTACATCGACACTTATTTTCATAAGGTACTTTTAAAAAAATTACAGAGGCAAATGAACTAAGAGTTCTTGCATAAACATAAAATTGATTAATGAATAATTGAAAGAAAAGTTCCCCAAACTAATAGTACATTAAAATAAGCATGCTTTGATGAGACAGAATGTCTCCCTTAGCTATTACTGTGGCATCCAAAAATGCCCCTCACCAAATTTCAGACTTCTCTGCACAGATTACATAAAAAAATTAAAAAATTTCAAAAATTCAGTGGAAATAGCATAATGTGGCTGAATAAGTAGGTTATAATTAGTGCAAAAATTTGTTCGTAATATTAAGTTGTATTTGGTTTTTCTTCATGTTTACAAACATACTGAGGTATCAAACAATTGGATAACTCCTTCAATTAGTGCTGAGCTGTGAGTTAGCGATCATCCTAGGGGGCCTCAAACAGTAACAAATTTAATGCCGCCTTTGGTTTAAGCCAAAGCCACACATATCACAAATGACTGCCATAAATAAAGAAGTGAAAAGTCCTGTTAGATTTTAATAATGAACAATTGCGATGAATGAATACAAAAGAGTGGAAACAAATTAACTATGAGGCTAAACACATTCTAACATTGTCACATACTCATGCGTAAAGTCAGTGGGTCTAACACCACTAATGAAGTCGTCGCTGCTGCCTCCTCTGATTGACATGATTGATTAAAAAATTCATTTCATGAATACCACGCATGACAATATCAAGGGGAAGGTCATTTTCATCATCATCAGGAACATAGTCGTCATTGCCTAGGATGTCATTGAAAGGTGGAGGCTGGTAAATACCTCTCTGGTTACAAAAATTGTGTAATACACAACATGCATTTACAATGTTGCCTGCAAACGCCGCATCTTTGTAATGAATGCACCTGTCACAACCAAGAATCCTGAATCTACCCTTAAGAATACCAATACACCTCTCCACGCGATTTCTGCAATGGCAGTGCACTTGAGTGTAGTAAAATTCAGGGGTGCCACGTTCAGCATGAGGCAGAGGAGTGTGTAGCCATGGAGCAGTGAAGTAGCCGGAATCGCCTGCAAGCAGGAAACAGCCATCTGACAACGCTTTCTTATTCATACTCTTTATGTATAACATCATCCGTTTGACTTACCGAGAAGCCAGCACCTATCTTCCCAATATGCTTGTTCCACAATTGGCCGCGCAGCAGATGCATTCCACACGTATGTATCGTTGCAGCTGCCAGGGAATCTGGCGTCCACATTCATTATATTCAAATCACTATCACATATCTGTAAGCATATAAAAAATAAAGCATTGCAACTTACACAATTACTCGCCACACCTCTACCGTAACAAAGAAAAACCTTACCACTTGAACATTAAGAGCTAAAAATCCTTTTCTTGAAAAAAATGCCTGCCTTTCAATATCGTGAGGCAATTGAGATAGCCTCACGAGAGTACCATCTATCAATCCCAGGACTCTAGGTAAACCTAGACGTTCATTCCTAAAGATAATTAAAAAAGGGAAAAATGTACTTGGCAGATTTAGAAAACCAGTAATGACACCGAAGAAAAATATGACTTACCTTGCAATAATTGGGGCCCTTTCTTCAGCTGTCAATGGGAACCTAATGAACCTTGTCAGAACATCTGGGTGATTTAAAGCATCTGTTATTTCCCTGACAAATCTGCTGACAGAGGATTCGACACCTGTAAGGAAAAGGCACGCAGTAGCGGCCGCGCGATCCAAAAGGCGCTCAGTTGCGGCCCTGCGATCTGAAAGGCACGCAGTTTGCCGCGCGCGATCCAAAAGGCACTCAGTTTGCTCCGCGCGATCCAAAAGACACGCAGTTTATGGCTGGCGGCCGGCAAACTGCGTGTCTTTTGGATCGCGCGGGGCAAACTGAGTGCCTTTTGGATCGCGCGCGGCAAACTGCGTGCCTTTCAGATCGCAGGGCCGCAACTGAGCGCCTTTTGGATCGCGCGGCCGCTACTGCGTGCCTTTTCCTTACAGGTGTCGGATTGGCTAACAGCAACATCAATAGATTTTCCTAGTATTCTTTGGTAACTCCCATTGGCATACAGCGAGAGAGTTACCAACAACTGCAAAGAAAAAAAAATAAGCAAAAGTCATTGTGAAGACACAGTAACAAAATAAATCAATATATTTCAGAATAAAAAATGGGAATAAGAACCTTTGTAATGAGTGGAATCTGGTTGGGGCTAGTCCTTCGTTGCACATATGGATGAATTATATTCAGAAGATGGACCACATCGTCCTGAGGCATGCGGTAATTTCGAATGAATTCAGGAATACTCATATTGTTAAGGGGGTCATGAATAGCCCTTAAACGAAATCTGTCATTAATTTGCATGAGCACCCGGCGTCTGTGTTCTGCATATATGTTTACTACTCTTCCATCAAAATAATCAAACTCTGAAAGCAGAAGAAAAAAAAGGGGGGGGGGTAAATTGAGCACATCAAACCACAACACAGAAACAAGCCACAATAACATTCAATGGGTAGAGACAGAGCCAAAAGATATAAAAAAATTAGAGGTAGAAATAATTGCAGGGATGCAAATGCGATTGAAATGGGGGAAATAAAATGCGGCTCTTTGTTCGCGATAGGGAAGGACATGTTGGAACACATGACAACTTGTTACTGCTCAGAGAGAGAAACTAACCAGTCGGTTGGTTCAAAAGACATGAAATGAAGCCACGAACAGTCGAACCGGTCATAGAGGTGACTGAAATATAGACGAAAAAGGGGAAGAAAAGTGACGAAAACATTCGAGTTGTGTTTGTTGCGCAGGTTATGAACCCAGCACGACAATTTAACTCAACCACTCACGTCGTTATGAACCCAGCCCGACAATTAACAACTAACACAACCACTCACGCCGCCTTCACGACTCACCCATGGTAAAGAGGAATAATTGTTGACTGGTTAAAATTGTTGCCACAAAGAGAAAATCCCGAGTCGACCACGACGTGACGATCCACCAACTAACGCTCAACGCTGTGGGTAGACGGGTGTCGTGGGGGGGGGGGGCGATGAGCCGATGAGCGGACCCGTCAGAACAGTAGAGCATCGGCCAGCCGAGCCGACCGAAAGCCCGATCCGTGTATGGACCGACTCGGGACACAGCCGACCGCGCCACAGCCGGCTCCACTCGGCAGGCAGCCAGCCGCCCAGCAGCGCGTCAGCTACGGCACGCGCGAGGCGCCCAGACATCGCCCAACGATTTGCTGAATCAGACCGCTGGGCGCCGGCCCCGCTCGAACCATGCACCAGCACTTCGGTAGTGCCGCCAAGTACGTCCCGACGCGCGGGCCGCCGGCTTGAACGGCTGCCGACGCTTTGGGCGTCAGCTGCGCTCGCACCGTGCACAAGCACCTCGGTTGTGGCACCGAGGGCTTCCGTGCGCGCGGGCCCGGCCCTGGTCGCAACTTGACTTTCCCGCCCACAGCCTGCAAACACGCTTCTAGATCTAGAAGCGACTACTAGCCCCTGAGTACCCGCTCCAGGACGGCGGGTACACTGGTCGGACGCAGCGGTGCGCTGCTCCGCCCTAGTCCCGTCATGGGCAGCCGCCTGACGGCGTCGTGCCTCGTCCCAAAGAGGCATTTTTTTTTAGAAGTCCGATCGTGGAACACGACCGATGCCGATTTCCTCCATTTTTTGGTCAAAGGTAGTCCTTGTGGGTCTAAGAAAGGCCACAAATTTTTTGGGCCGAAATATGCACCGTTCAGATTCTATGGGCAATTTTCGTTTTCTCTGACAACTTTTCACATAATTTGGCCAAAATTGAAAAATCACCTTTCTGAGGCCTCTATGCACTCGATTGAGCTCAAAATGTGGTATCTTATGTAAAATCACGCGAGGAACACGAATCCGGTGCCCGTTTGTTGATAGGACAACCCAAAAAGATGTTATGCCTGTTTTTCAGGTTTTGTAGTGGTTTTTACTTTTCTTGGGGTTTTGGTGTTCGGCATCGATTTTCGCTAATCCGATGAGTGGATTTTATAGATAGAGGACCAATCTATCATATTACGAGATAAAAAGTTTGTGTACGCCGCGTGAAAAGCAGTGGCGCTGCAAAAATGGAAAATCCGTCATTTCTGGGTAGTTTTAGATCAGATAAGCCACCTTTCGCGTGACCGTCTCCGCCCCATATTCAGTCTAAATATTGTCCCAAGTGATGTCAGAGTTGGTGTGAAATTTCACCGCTGTAGCTCAAGTAGTTTGGAAATGGCAGCTTTCTAAAGTTTTGCAATCACGTAAGGTATTTACTTTAAGGGGAGGTTCTGGTGAAAATGCTATTTTCTCCTAAATAGGTCCCACTGTGAAAATTTGTTAAAAATTTGATGTCTTAACAAGTATTTATTAAAAAAATTCGGTTGGCTCGGCCGCGGGCCTCTCCACCCTCCCCTTGATTAACATCATGTGCTGCCGCGAGCAGCAGTCCTGGAAATTATTACACTGTAGCCGCAAATGCAGGGCGGGATTTCGCAAGGACGCGTCGCGCCTCCCGACGGGGATAACCTCACTGGACCGCGTTCTCGGACGTGGCACTTACTTTTGTCTCGTTTCTCCCGATACAGCTGCCGGGCCCTTTCACGTTTACGCTCTCGTTGTTCTTCGGTCAGCTTCCTGGGGGCCATAGCTTAGGCCAATAATTGCCGCTTCACCTGCTTCTTCCCACATATCTTGTCTTTTTACTCCACACACGTGCAACGCGCTCCTTCAGGCCAGCCGGCGACACTGTTGTTGTTGTGCAGTGCGAGGCCCCCGCTCCCCTCGTCTCCAGCGGCATGCGGCGTCGCCGGCGGCGGTGCCACGCTGCATCCTGCATCGGTATCGGCCGAGCGAAGCCGACCTAGCTCCGAAGGCGATACGAGCTGAGCAGGCCACGCTAGGCCCCTGCTTGAGGGCCGAGCCGAGCCGGCCGAGCCTTGCCTAGGCCTGCTACGCAGCACGCCGCGCCACTGCGCCCTGCGCTGGCGGCGGGGAGGTAGGGGGGGGAAGGGGGGGGCTAGGCCCCATGGCCTTTTTCCGGCCCAGGCCGGCTTAACGCACGCACAGAACGACGCACGCATGGTCCCGCCCCGCCTCAAGACTATCTCGAGAGTAAAAGCAAGCTGACACCTTCATTACAATTGTATAGCTTGCTTTAGCTTTAGCATCGGTGTCATCTGCTAAAAATGCCTCAAAGCCTTTTCAGACGCGTAGCCGCGTCCTCTTGTCGGGGCGCAGCCGCGGCGCCGGCCGGCTGGGGTGCAGGTCCTGCGTCCCCTGCCTGGCCTCGCGCCTCGACGGGCACCTCGACTTGGCGCTCGGGGGCTGCCGGGGCACGCTGTGCTCCTAACGGCGGTGTTGTGACTCTGCAAATCGACCCCAAAATATTGCTCGAAATAATTAATGATTTCTCGCGGGTTCAATTTGCCGAGTCCCCAAAGTTTTAGTCAGATCCTTGATTACATCTCCGCGGCCGGTCGGCCACGACAGAGCCGTAGCAGGACAGGGCAGACACCTGGACCATGGCAGGGCAGGGCATGTTGCGCTGGTCCCTGCCGAGGCGGCATCTTCTATGCTTTCCGAGTTTTACTACTTTTCGAGGAACTCGTGTCGCAAGGGGTCGCTGATGAGCCTGTCCCTATTCTGCGTCCTTGGGTGTTACGACATGAATCGATTCCACGTGTGGAAGTCGCGATGTCTGGGAGGGGGCCCTGCAGTTCACAATTTTGTATATAAAGTCAGAATCTCTCCTGGACATCGCCAGTCGCCCAGGACAGTCCAGTAGTGTCGTGTCTGTGACGTATCTGGGTGTTGGGACGCTGGTCCGTCTTGTGAACAGTTTGTGTGGAGGAAGGGAGGAGCTGAAGCCCGTAACATCTGTTTGTAATCCGTTTGTGAATTTGGCATTTGTTTTGAGAATATAATTTGATAATTGATTTTTGATCGAGTCTTGGAATAATTGGTAATTTGTTTTTTCCTTCATTTCACACTAAATTCACATAACGAAGGTTGCGAAAAGCGGGGCACGCAACATTGGTGCATCGGCCGGGAAAGAGTAAAATCTTGAGAGGTTTTACTTTCAGCTACCAGTAACCCTTCCTCTGCTTTGGCAAACTGTGCTGAGACGTTAAATAGTTTAAGTGTTAGAGATAGAGTGCGCACTAGGGTTAGGTCTTATGGGGAATTATTTTTCGTGACTTATTTTTAAGAAGTGCTTGTGAAGAATACCATCTGTGTGCGTGTGTGTATGTCTGTGCGAGTTTGTGTTTGTGTGTGTGTGTGTGTGTGTGTGTGTGAGAGAGAGAGAGAGAGAGAGAGAGAGAGAGAGAGAGAGAGAGAGAGAGAGAGAGAGAGAGAGAGAGCGTTGATGGTCGGAGACGTCACTGGTGTGTCCCTGTGTTAGTCCGAGCGCATGTGGGTAGTGTGAGCGGTCAGTGATTTTCCTTCTGAATTAATTTTTAAGATGAAAAAGGCGAGAGTACCGAAGTCGGAGGATGGTTCGAAAGTGGGGCCTGTCGCCGAGCAGGCGGCTGCTTCTGCTGGTGGAAGGCAAAGCGGGGTTGCAGCGCCGGACGGCGCAGGACGACCCGCGGAACCTGGAACCGGGGAAGCGGGCGCGGCTGGCTCCTTTCTCGAGAGTCCTTTTGCAAACCTTGATCTGTCGGCTAGTGGGACGACGGCCAGTGATGGCTCGGTCAATGCTGTTGGCGGAGGGGGTGCCGTCCCGCACGGGGCCGCGTCACTCGTTGGATTTGGCCCATTGATGAGTTCAATTGAGCCGTTCAACGGGGAGACGGGGGTTAGTGCGAGACAGTTCCTGGAATCGATTAACAGTGTTGCGAGTCTAGGGCACTGGTCGGCGCAGCAATGCCTTTCAGTTGCGCGGGTTCGGCTTCGCGGCGTAGCCTTTGATTTTGTGTCCATGCACCCCAACCCTGCGGTAAGGAGCGACTGGGTGGAGTTTCAGAGTGAAATCTTAACCAGATTTCAAGCTGATGAGCCCTTGGTTTCTTTAATGCAGAAATTCTACTCGGCAGTGCAGAAACCGTCCGAGGACGTAAAGCAGTACGGCCAGAGACTGTCTACTCTGTGCCAGCTTGCGTATCGGGCGGACGGTTCTGACCTGAGCGGAGCGGTTTGGAAAGTGTATGACAATATGCTTTTGTCTAGATTCCTCTATGGTCTTAAGGGCATCTCGCAAAAGGTTGTGGCAGCAGCCAAGCCCAAAGATTACAAAGAAGCATTGGCACTGGCTGTGAGCCTTCAGGAGATGGACGAGAAGGGGACAGTGGCAGTTGTCAGGGGTAATGGGGGGGATAAGAGCGCGGAGGATGAAATTGTGTGTTGGGATTGTGGGGAAATCGGACACGTTAGGCGGCGCTGTCCAGAGAGGGCGCAGGGGGAGTACCCCGAGCCCGAGGGCGACCCGCAAGACGGACCTGCATGCTGGGAGTGTGGGGAAGATTATACAGCATATACATTCAGGGTCAGGATAGTATCATATAGCACTTATTTTAATTTGTACAATATATATCAAATTTAATTTTTTTACAATACTGTCTAGTTTTTTCGGAGACTGCGGTGGGTAGGGCGGTCTTGATGCAGGAGAATTACTGTTGATAAAAAAAGGGAGTGTCAATGTACATCGTTTATTAAGGAAACAAAGTTAGTTAAGTGTGCATGTCGGGGCTTGTGCTTTACAACACTGAACTTACCTTGGGCACATCGATGACAAGAGGCAGGTGGTGGCTGAAGTACGCCTGGTATGCGCCCACAGTCATGGCGGCTGCATTAGAGAACACGGCGTCAATCGTAGACCCCGCGCCGTAGGTGGTGTGTGCTCTCAGGTCGCTCGTAGATGTTAGTGAGCGTGCCGCCAGGGTGTGGGCAATGCGCCGTCCAGCCGGCTGCTGCATGTCCTTGTTGAAGTCCCCCGCCAGGATGGTGGTGCGGGGCAGAGGGTGCGCAGGCAGCATCACGTCGATGGCCTCGATGATGGTATCGACGCAGGCGGACGGGTGGCAATACATGGCGACCGCCAGCAAGTCCTTGCCCTCGGCGCTGACGGCCTCGATGTGCGGCAGAGTGTTCAGCGCGGCCCTCTGGGTCAGCGGGAGCCGCTAGTAGATGGCCACGCCGCCTGCCGCGTGTCCCGGCGCTGCCCTGGCCATGTCGCAGCGCGCCACCTGCCGCATGCCGTGGCCCAGGTCGACATTGTCCTCGGGCCGGAGCCACGTCTCGGCAAGGAGCAACATGTCGGCCGCCATGAAGACCTCCGTGTCCCGGGTAACGTCGGGGTGGTGTGCGCGCAGGCTCTGCACGTTGTGGAAGACGGCGCGCAGCGAGTCAGCTGGCCGCTGCAGTAGTCCTGCCCAGCGCGGTCGGAATGTCTTGGTGCGCAGGCGCTCCTTCTCTCTCCTGATAGGGTGGTTGGCGGGCCGGATCTTCGGGTGGACGAAGAGGCGCGGGGGTCGGCGGTCTTTCTGTTTTGTCACCCGGCCGTCCCGCGTCGTATGTAAGCTCCTGCTCCGTTTCGAGTACGTCATGTAGAGGCCGGCGAGAGAGAGCACCCTGCTCATCGCGACGTACACCATTTCATTCGTCATCCCCGGGTCGTAGTGGAAGCAGGCGGTCTCGTAGCCACTTCCCTGCGACGAATGAATGGTGTCTGCGTGAGCCGGACTGAGTGGGAATTGTTGGCGCACCACTTCGCGCCACTTCTCAGTCCAGACTTTCCGCAGCACCAGGTCGCGGCGCTCGATGGGCACCAGGCCGTGCAGCTCGTCGCCGTGGGGGCTGGGCGGCAAGTCGAAGGGCAGGGCGTTCACCATGTCCGCGGGGAAGCTGTTCTGGCGCTGGATGGCAAGGCGGAGCTCGCCCGCCGCGGCCCGACTGGCGAGGGCCCCACAGTTGCCCGGAAAACGAAGCCACAGCTTGTGCACAGCCAGGGCCGTTTCTGCGCCTGCAGCGAGGCACGACGCGGACAGCACGCCCAGCTGCACCCAGACCAGCGTGCCGACGGCGCCGTTGACGAGGTGGTCGGCGGTGTCCTGGTTGTACGTCAACTTGTACGGCCGGCCCACGACGGCGAGCAGCTCGGAGGGCAGCCCCTCCGCCTTGGCCACGTTGAGGGCCTCGGCGCGCTGCAGGATGGTCTCTGCTTTCTCTTCTCGGCGTTGCCGGGAGTAGTCTTTGTAAGTGGACTTCGTCTGGACCCGGTCTCGCGCGATCACGCGGAAGATCTTCCTTATTTCGGCCCGGAGAAGCTTGGTGTTGTTGTGCCTGTCCTTGTCGTCGTTGTACTGGTAGATTCGGGGCACCTCATCCGGGACGATGAGGTTGTTCTTCTCCACGAAACGCGTCTCGATCAGGTCGCAGTCGGCGTCGCTCAGGGGTGTCTCGGCGTCGCCGATGATGGCGAGCAGCTCGGCATACTTCTTGTCGTCGCCCTGGCGCATGTTCTGCGTCAGTTCCACGTACTGGAATTTTTGCCACAAAGCCGCGCTTCCACTTATTTCAGTAGTGGAACTCTTGTAAACAGCCGAGCCTCCGACTGGAGTCAGCTGTCTGAAGTCTCCGAAGACGATGGTCCACAGGCCTCCGAAATCAGACTCCTTGCCCTTGGCTTCCCTTGAGCGCTGGTCCATTGCCAAGAAATTCCTGGCCGACACCATACTTATTTCATCAATGAGCTGGGCCTCGACATGCAGGAAAAAGTTCTGCAGGTTAGCAAGCTGCTGGCCCTGCAGAGGGGGCATGGGGGCGTGTCCGTCGTGCATGCGCTTCGTGGCGCCTTCCTCTTGGTTGTAGGGAAGCTTGTGGGAATGGTGTATCGTCATTCCTCCGATGATGCAGGCGGCCTTTCCCGTTGGTGCGCACGAGATGACTCTGGCGGCGCTGCTCTTGTCGTTGGGGGCCGCGAAGGTGTCGAAGGCGTTGGCGCAGCACTGCGCCACGAGGGACTTCCCCGTCCCGGCCGCGCCGTCGATGTAGAGCAGCATAGGCTCGCTGTTGAGGCGGACCCCGTCGTACACGGCCAGCACCACTTCGCGCTGCTTGGTGTTGAGGCGCCGGATGTTGTAGAGGAACGTGTCCCTGTCCCAGATGCCGCGCCGTCGCACCGTGGCCACGGGGTCCGTCCTAGGCTGGTTGAACCGCGGCTCCGGCAGGTCCACGTCGATGTCCTGGGCTCCGGCATCCATGAACTCGGCCTCCTCGAACACGTACTTGCCGTCTCCGGCGAGCTGGCGGCGCGCAGCCTCGGCAGCTTCGTTGGCCTCCGCCTCGTCCTCAGCAACGACGTTCTGCAGCTCTCCCTCCATGTCGCAGTCTGGGCGGCCGAGCATGCCTTCGAAGCGGGCTCGTCTGGGCAGTATGTCCGGTTCGTGGCGCTCGTACAGGCCCTCAAAGCCGCCGTCCGCTGCTCCGGCCGACAGAATGTCGTCCTGCTCATTGCGCCAGGGGATGTGCAGGGTGCACATGCTCCTGTAGAAGTTCTCTCTCTGGTCCTTGTTGTCGCCGTTCTCGTTGAAGCGCCGGTACCGGATGATTCGGTCCTTCTTCCTGGGCTTCATGTTGTTGCTTTGGTGGTGCACGGCGACGAACTCGGCCAGGGTGGTGTTCTCGAGGTCGTCGTGGCGGTTGGCGTACACGTCGAAGACGTCCGGATACCAAAGGTCTGTGGCTCCCTCTGGCAGGGCGTCGATGTCCTTCTTGGGCTTGGGGCAGTGGTGCCGTTCGTCTGGTAGGGAGGTATCAATGAAAGAGCATTTTCGGCTCATTTCGGACAGAGGAAAATTTAGCAAAATCCAGCTGGCCTCCTGGGCCGACGTTTCCTTGGCGCGCAGACACTTGGAGGCCAGCATTCTCATTAGGGTGCGGTCGTCAAACGCGTGTTCTCTTCTCAGTGTCGTGATTTCGTTGTGCAGCTGGCTGTGATTTTTTTCTGCTTTGGTGACGTAGGAGACACAGTAGCGCACCAAGCTGTACACGTCCAGTACGACCTGTGCGTCACTGTTGAATCCCAGCACGTCCAGAACCCACCGCAAGTAGGAGTTGGTCCATTTGTCTTGGACCGTCCGCCTGTAGATGATCTTGACGTGCTTCAGGCCCGTCCGGATGGCCAACTCGTAACTGCGGTCGTCGGGGCAGCCCGCCTCGCGCCACACAGCCTCCAGGGTGTCCGGGCAGCTTGGCGACGACAGCACGTCCTTGAGGCGCAGCCGCAACTCGCGGAGGCTCTTGATGTAGTCCTCCCAGCTGCAGTCGCCGCGCTCGTCCTCCGGCCGCTCGTCAGTGTCCAAGAACAGCGGGTCCAGGATCCTGGTGCGCGGCGTCGGCCAGAAGGGCGCGTCGAAGCGGCAGTGGCGGTGCGCCTCGTGCGGGTCTAGCTTCTTCAGCCGGAACCGCCTCTGGATGCTTTTCTTCCTGAAGCAGGTGGTGGTGTGGCTGTGGCTGTTCCTCTCCGCTAGCGGGTGGGTCGAGTCGCAGGTGAGCAGTTCGTCGGCGAAGCGCACCGCTTCCTCCCTGTCGATGAGGGGCTCATCCGGACCGTTGTTCAGCCAGAGGAGTCCATGGCAGTGTGGCGCCCCTCTCTGCTGGAACTCGATCCGGATGAACCAGTCGGTCATATAATATTGGCCCATCGGTCCTTTGTTCTTCATGCGAAGATATTTCTTCAGTTGCAGCACGATTTCGCGGAACATCATGGCACACACGATGGGGTCTTCCCGGACCAGCTTGAGCTTCTCCTGCGAGGACATGATGTCCTCCCCGGCGTCCTCACGCTCCACCAGGTCCGAGATGGCCTCCATGACGTCGGCGCCGACGGAGTCAGGGAGTGGCACGTGGGTCGGCCTGCGAGCAGAAATTGGGAGGATCCCCCACTCCCTAGCCGTGACGTCATGGATCCCGACCGTCAACTGTCCATGTACCCGCCCCAGCGCGTTCGTCTCAGGCCATTCGAAGTTGTGTGGACCGTCCAGCCAACGATCATAACGTCCAATTAGCCAACGAACATAACGTTCAATAAGTATAAAGAAGATGGGCAAGCATTGTGTATGTCGCCAGGAATCGGATGGGTAAGTTAATTTTGAGCTTCAAGATTTCGCACAATGGAAGTAATGAGAGAAAATGACCTGTATGTCGCCCATATAGGCAAACAGCATGGGTGTGATTTGGACTTTGTGTTTTAGAATTTCAGTTACTTGTTCGCTTAAGAATAAGAGTTCCAAAATTTTCAAATTTTTGTGGGTTTGTAAGACTTTCTCTCATGTTTAAACCTTTCAGACAGGTCTTTTATGTTGGTTGATGTCTCCAAAGCGTCGATGGCCCAATGTAGTTCTAGTCTGTTTTTTTGGAGCGTCATGAGACTTACTGTTTTCTTCTCTTACATTTCAGCTTTATGGTATTTTGTGAAAGGTGCCATATATGGTACCATGGCTCTTGTGTGGGCGAAACACAGAGAACTTCCGCAAGTAAGATCTGCTTTATTTGTGAATGTAGTTATTTTGGTTGAATTTCTTATTGAAGCATTCTTTTTCAGGGGTAGATAATTGGTACTGCTTTTGGTGCCGAGGATTCAATAGGGCTCTTGAAACCCTTTCCCAGGTGAGCAGAACAATGTGGAACTGGATCTATACAAGGGCAACTCTGTCAATTATACAATGTGTGTTATTATTCCAGAAACAAGAGGAGTTTTCTCTTCAGATTACAACGTTGAATGAAGAAAAAGAAGAAATGCAATCAAAATTACTTGAATTGAGTGAGCAAAAAATAACTTGTGAAAACTTAGTGTGTGAAAAGTCTAATCTGGAAAAAATTGTGGAAGATCTGACGAGCAAGCTGGAATTGAAAGAAGGAGAACTTCGAAACCTTAAAAATGAATGTGATCGTCTTCAAGAAGAGCTAAGCACTGTTAAAGCCACCTGCAAAGAAAATGATGAAAATATTCATTTGGAAAAAGAAGAAATGCAATCAAAATTACTTGAATTGAGTGAGCTTAAAGTAACTTTGTAAAACTTAATGTGTGAAAAGTTTAGTTTGGAAGAAATTTCAGAAGATCTGAGAGCAAGGTGAATTGAAAGAAGGAGAGCTTCGAAGCCTTAAAAATGAATGTGATCATGTTCAAGAAGAGCTAAGTACTGTCCAAGCCACCTATCAGAAGGAGATAAGCTTGCTTACAAAAGAAAATATAGAATTGAAGGAAAATCTTCAAAAGATCTTCAAAAGAAGGAAGTTGTCCTTATCCCAGCAGCTTCCGTGATGATTGTGCCAAATTAAATTTGTATCTTGTATTTTGATAGGAATTATAACATTCTCCATATGCTACACTGTGTCCTTATTTTTAATGATTTGGGGATTTCAACCTGACTTTGTGTCAATCACTGATTTATCCTTTGTTCTTATCGGCCAAGTTTGGGTCTGTAATGTTTGCTGGACAACTTGATGATACTAGAGCAGTTGCTTCAGTATAAAATAAATAAAATGTACAAAATATCCCCTTGACTAACCCGCCTAGTTGCTGAAGAGATGACTTGATAGGGAGGGGTCACAACACATAAATATTTTTAAAAATATTTATTTGAAAAATCTGAGTTACACATAACTACATCATAAACAAAATATTGTCTTCAGCAATTTTTGCATAGACTTAAAACAAATATGTTAAGTCAAGCTAGTGAAAAATATGACTAAACATGCTTTAGAAAAATCTCACTAGCACAGACAAATGGTGAAGCATCATTGGAAACAATGCAGTTCTGATGAAATTCTTGATCACATTTCTTGCATGCTATGGATACTGCGGCTTGTGCATCATTTTGACAGACTGGGCAGATGTGCTGTAAGTCATGATAATCTCGCTGCATGCAGTCTCCAGCAATAGTTGAGAACATAAACTTCCTAAATTCTGCTTCATCTTCAACTGGAGAGAAGTTGTCAGAACCCATCATAACTTGGTGGGCGAAGTGACAGATTTGAACTCCGGTTGAAACACTTGATCCTGCTGGCATGGCTTGCCTTATTATTTTGACAGACCAGTTTTGTTCCTTATTCAGAACTTCCCTCATATTTTTGGTGCAATTGTTAAGCAGCTTCTGGCGGAAGCCACTGATGTTTTGCTGGTTTGGATCAAAATACAGGATTTCTAACTTTTCAACATTGAAAATGATGAGTATCCACTGGTTCTTGTAATTAGCAGGAAACATCACAATCTTATATCCAGCAGCCAAAATTTCATTCAATCCCTCCGTTACTATTGAGCCATCAATAACAGCATTAGAATCATTTGAGGTACAAGCATAAACATCCAAAGTCTCTGATGCTGTGAACAAAAATGCATCCGGTAGATGGTAGAATCTGTCCTGTGACAAAACCAGGAGATGCAGATTGAATTTTTTTCTCTTCAAGAGACGACAGCTGCATTTCCAGTGATTTCAAATCGATAATGGACAATTCTGAGTCACCAATTTTCAGAATTATGTCATTCAGTTTCTTCACATACCCTAAACTTGGTGTGAAAGAGCTGACAGCAGGCTCATCATGATTATCTGTTTGAGTTCCAATTGTTTCTTCTATATCAGGCTCACTGTCTGAGTAATCACTCAATAATGAAAGTAAATTTTTCTTCACACGTTCCTTAGCATTTGGAGATAACTTCTGATTGAAGGCATTAGCAGGCTTCTTACGTTTCTTAGCTCGTCGAAATGGGAGCATCTGTGATTCTTGCGTTTGTAACTTTGCTCGGGATGAGAAATGGATTGTTGGCTTCATTTGCATCATTACAATGTCAGTTGGAATATTTGCAGCGGATTCCATTTTCTTCAGCAATTGATCAATCACAGCATTAGCATGGACAACAAGGTGTGAATTTAACAATGTTTCAGAGTCAAGCATGCTATTAAGTTTCGCCACATTTTCTTTGAGTTTCTTCAGTGCATTTTCATTGGATCTGCCTTCATCAGGTTCCTGTTCATTGTCATAGAGAGAAAATAACTGGACATTACCATCATCAGGAGTGTCATCAACAACATCATCATTATGTATAATATCCTTCTTCAACAGAAAGGAATACAATTTATGAATGTGTTTACATACAGGACTTTTGTCAGGACAGCTGCATGTTAACATGTGGGAGCACAGCCCTTTACATTCTGGCTCTTTGCATTTGTTTCGGCATATTTTCTCAGTACACTTCAAATTGTTAATAGCTATGAAGTACTTTTGCTGGCTTTTATCTTTTGAAGACATTACTTCATATACAAGATTTGACAAAGTTTCACCAATGCAATCATCTCCCATATCCATGCCTTTCTTGTGCCTTAAGAGAACTGCTTCATAGCTTCCAGCTGATACTCCAAATAAGTTCTCTCTCTTTCTTGTACTGAAGTCATCCTCTTCAACTTTCATTAGGATGTTAATTAAATCATCAACTCTTTTATTAGGCCTTCTCTTCATGTGTCTCTTCTTTAAGCGGTGGTGGAAAGATTCATTAGCTCCAGTAGTATTTTGGTTAGCATAGTAAAAATTACGATAACTCATTGCCCACTTCTCTGGTCTTGACATGTAATAAGTAACAAAGTATGTAATGAAATCGGGTGCACTGGCTTCAAACTTTTTAACAAATGCCTCTGATAAAGCAGGAAATTCTTTCACCGGATCACGACAATTAATTACTGCTTTCAGGTCACTGTAGAGCTCTGAATCCAAATTTCTGGGAACACCGTGTGAATGGATATTTCTTTGAAAAGTTTGGTGAAGATGCCACACACAAAGAATATGCCTTAAAGTCTTCCCAAAACCAAGTTCTGCTGCATTAATGAGTGCAGGGTCATCATCAGTTACAACTACATTTATGTCTGCATCAGGATTTTTTTCTTTCATGGCTTTAAAGAAGTATTGTAGAGTATTCTTATCCATATGGCTTGTTATCAAATGGGCGACAGGCCAGCATCGGTTATTCTGATCAGGTACCATAACAGTTAATAATTTTAGGTCATACTGAGTGGTACCGTGCGTATCATCAACAAGCATTGCTTTAGAACAGCCTTGTTTGAACAGTTCTGCTTGCTCTTTCGTCTGAATACCAAACATGAAGATATTGTCTGCATCAGGAAGATCATTTACCTCTGACGGCCCTTGCATACACTTCATACCAAGTGGCTTGTAGAGAATAACAGGATTGTACTTTTCTTGTCTTAATCCTTCAAACAACTTCCTAACAGACACAGGATCTTCTTTGTGCAGTCTTTTTGAATTCCTCACCTTTCTTTTTCTTTCCCGAATTAATTTGATGGAGACATAATTGTTTTTCTTCTCAACACCAGAGTCTTCTCTGTTTTCTCTAGAAAAGGCACCATTGCGTAGGAGATCTTGAATCTTAGAAGGAGAAACTTCCCATGCCAATTGCTGATCAATCAGTTGATAAGCCGATCGTGACAGAGGTTGATGTTGGAAATCTTGGGGATCTAGGGGATGGCTATGGCAAGGATAGTACTCTACTTTGATGTCATTTTCAGTTTTGTGAACTTTCATGAAAGCTATGCAAAGATTGCCCTTTTTAACTTTACCGCATCCCCTTTTTCCAGAGGTTTTCTTCAAGTCAGGTTTGGCCAAACCATCATGCTGACAATAAAAGTAGACGTGACCACCTTTGCGGCTTTCCCCAGTGTGCATGGAAAAATATGAATAGGTCTTCTCCTCTTCTTTTTCTTTCCATGTCACAAAATCATCCAGTGAAGAAAATGATTTAGAGATGGGATCCTGATGGTCTTTATTTGGATGAACATCTCTTAAGTGCTCAAGTAAAGATGTTTTATGAAAAAATGTCTTACCACAGTCAGGATAGTGACATTTTGAGCGTGGACGATGTTCCTTTTTGCTAGGGGATGAACACTTCTTTAAGTGGGCCTTTAGGTGGTCTGATCTTTTAAATGGTTTAGAGCACATATGGCATAAAAACTTGTGAGGGCTTGCAGTGGTTCTTGACCGTTTAGAGCACACTAATTTGTGACGAGCCATGTTCTTTGATGTCTTGAAAAGTCTTGAGCAGAATGAGCATTTTGACTATTTTTCCAATCGACTCTGTGGTTTAGACTTTGTAGGTGTCCTTTTAGGTTCAAAATCGTCATCAGATGTGTCCCCAAGAACTGTTGACACATCATTTACATCACGAATTGCCTAGAAAGCAAAATAATCATTAGATTATCTAAACCAAAATAAAGAAACATTCCTATTTTGTTTAAAAGTTTAGTATGCCCACTCAACAAAAGCCCACAAAAATTTAATATAAATTTAATCAATCCAAAATTACTTGCAATTCCTCGCACCTTGTCTCTATTAGGTTTCACAGGACTCTTCTTTCCTTTTTTTCTGGGAACGGCTTTCTCTTGGAAGTCATTAGGATTGGCCTGAAAAAGATGGAACAGAAAGGGAGCATAAATACATTTTTTGTTATCACAGTCTCCACACTCACAATTCCCAAAACAAATTAAGTGGTCATTTAATTAAAACAATAACTTGCTGATTGTAACTGCTGTAGTGTATTGTTTATGGCTTACCTTACTGTCTCTTTTTGTTTTGACTTTCTTGACTAAATCATCTGATTCCTTTGAAACTTCATTTGCCACAAGACCAGCCTGGAAAGGACAAAAATAATTAACTCTAAAAAATTTAAATGCAGTAACTATATTTTTATGAACTGGCAGCTCACGATTCCTACACTGATAGGGAGTTCTGCTCGGTGTACACAAGGTTTCTTAGGACTTTTCTTTCCTATTGTGGGTCCGGCTTTCTCATGTGAATCATAAGGATTTTTTGTTTTGACTTTCTTCCTGGGAGGGTCCTGAAAGTCATCATCAGATGCATTGCAAAATAAATCAACTGATTCCTTTGAAACTACATTTGCCACAAGACCAGCCTGGAAAGAAAGAAAATAATGAACTCTAATAAATTCAAATGCAGTAACTATATTTTTATGAACTAGCAACTCACGATTCCTACACTGATAGGGAGTTCTGCTCGGTGTACAGAAGGTTTCATAGGACTTTTCTTTCCTATTGTGGGTCCGGCTTTCTCATGTGAGTCATTAGGATTTTTTGTTTTGACTTTCTTCCTGGGAGGGTCCTGAAAGTCATCATCAGATGCATTGCAAAATAAATCATCTGATTCCTTTGAAACTACATTTGTCACAAGTCCAGCCTGAAAAGGACAAAAATAATTAACTCTAAAAAATTTAAATGCGTTATGAACTGGCAACTCACGATTCCTACACTGCTGGGGAGTTCTGCTCGGTGCACACAAGGTTTCAAAGGACTTTTCTTTACTGTCTTTCTGGGTCCGGCTTTCTCTTGTGAGTCATTAGGATTTTTTGTTTTGACTTTCTTCCTGGGAGCGTCCTGAAAGTCATCATCAGATGTGTTGCAAACTAAATCATCTGATTCCTTTGAAACTTCATTTGCCACAAGAGCAACCTAGAAAAGAAAAACATGATTAACTCTAAGAAATTGTGATGCAGTAATATTTATATGAACTTCTGATGACACTACATTCTGGTGATAAGTACCTTCTGGCAGCTCGCCATTCCTGCACTGATGGGGAGTTCTGCTGGGTGGACACAAACTGCCTTCCGTTTGCGATACATCATGCACAGCCATTAATACCATTGATGTGCTGCAAAAGAGCGTTCATCAAAAATGGGGAGAAAATTATAGATAAGGCATTCCAGCTAGCATAAGTGCACCTGCTGACACGTCAGGGGAACAACAATCTATTTGGATTGAACACTCCCGTTTCAAGTGAAAGGAGTTTTTTTGTGAGAAAACTGCGAGTTTCTTTCGTAAAATATACTGTAAAAGGATGGTTTTTGAAAAAATGAAGCTAGAATTGGCTAAAGCTAGAAATGGCTAACTGAAAAACTGGCGGTGGGTACAGAGCGAAACATACAACGCACACCGAACGACATAACCCACCACAGAACAACTCTGAACACCTTAATTTATGTTCTGCAAATGTTTTGGAGAGGGGTGAAAACTATTTGGAAATTTACTTACCAAGGATCGAAATATTTTGAAGAAACTTTTTCAAAGTGGGGTCTAGTCGGGGTCAGGCCGCCGTTGGCGGGTAACACGTCGTACTGCACGGCGGGCTGGGAGGAACAGTTGACGGTCGGGATCCATGACGTCACGGCTAGGGAGTGGGGGATCCTCCCAATTTCTGCTCGCAGGCCGACCCGTGGCACGTTGGAGTCGATGTTGGCAGCACTGGCGCGGTCCATCTCGCCGTGTTCACGGTGGAGCTTTCGCAGCACTTTCATCAGCGGCTTGCAGTTGGTTTCGCTGAAGGACTGCGTGAAGAACAAGCCGTTCCAGCTCGTTTTTCCTCTGACGTGCTTCGGGAGTCAGGCCTGCCTGCCTTCGTGCCCGCTGCAGCTCGTGTTTTCTTTGCCGTTTTTCGGGGGTCAGGCCTGCATCCTTTCGTGCCCGCTGGAGCCCGTTCTTCCTTTTGCGCTGATCCAGCGTTGAAGACTCGCCTGAAGAGACATCCTTTGATCCTGTAAATTCGTAGAATTAATCAGAGACGTCTTGGTGATACCGTCGCCAGTCGCCTCGCTAGCCGGCGGCCGGGGCCATAGACAAAGAATTCGCGTCGCGAAGGCACTGTTCGGGGTGCCACTTCGAGGGTTCTGGAGGCTTCGGCCGTTTATGATCATTCCAGTTCTACAAGATTTATCTTTGTTTACGGCCGGCGCGGCCTCGGCTGGTTACAATATTTTCAGGTCTACACGATTCTTCTTTGTCTATGGCAGGCGCGGCGGGGGGTTGGGGGTTGGGATAGGCGGTGCCACTGCGCTCTATCCCACTACACCCGCACCAGCCCCCTCAGTCCCCTCGAGGACGGCGGCGAGGGGGGAGACGGGGGTGGAAGGGGACGGCAAAGGCGGGAGGCTACTCTCCCCCAAGCGCGGGGTGAGGCGGGGGCTGGCGGGGCTGGCGTTTCCGACTGTAGACTGACCTGCTAGTTGTTCTTCGGCTGGAACGCGGCTGCTTGCAGTCTCGGCGGCGTCCTCCTGTTTGGCGTCAGCGCAGTGATGTGCTCCTGCGCGCTCCGTCTGCCCTGAGAATGCGAAAGCCAAATGTTTACTTATGCATTTAACTATCATGACCGGTATCTTTTTTGTCGTTTTTTTGCTACGCTGTTTATACCCTCACCTCTCTGCTTTGAATCTTGCGCAGTGCAAGATGAGCCCTGCTGTTCAGCGTCTCCAGCGTCATCGCCGCGGTTGGCTCGGCCGCGGGCCTCTCCACCCTCCCCTTGATTAACATCATGTGCTGCCGCGAGCAGCAGTCCTGGAAATTATTACACTGTAGCCGCAAATGCAGGGCGGGATTTCGCAAGGACGCGTCGCGCCTCCCGACGGGGATAACCTCACTGGACCGCGTTCTCGGACGTGGCACTTACTTTTGTCTCGTTTCTCCCGATACAGCTGCCGGGCCCTTTCACGTTTACGCTCTCGTTGTTCTTCGGTCAGCTTCCTGGGGGCCATAGCTTAGGCCAATAATTGCCGCTTCACCTGCTTCTTCCCACATATCTTGTCTTTTTACTCCACACACGTGCAACGCGCTCCTTCAGGCCAGCCGGCGACACTGTTGTTGTTGTGCAGTGCGAGGCCCCCGCTCCCCTCGTCTCCAGCGGCATGCGGCGTCGCCGGCGGCGGTGCCACGCTGCATCCTGCATCGGTATCGGCCGAGCGAAGCCGACCTAGCTCCGAAGGCGATACGAGCTGAGCAGGCCACGCTAGGCCCCTGCTTGAGGGCCGAGCCGAGCCGGCCGAGCCTTGCCTAGGCCTGCTACGCAGCACGCCGCGCCACTGCGCCCTGCGCTGGCGGCGGGGAGGTAGGGGGGGGACGGGGGGGGCTAGGCCCCATGGCCTTTTTCCGGCCCAGGCCGGCTTCACGCACGCACAGAACGACGCACGCATGGTCCCGCCCCGCCTCAAGACTATCTCGAGAGTAAAAGCAAGCTGACACCTTCATTACAATTGTATAGCTTGCTTTAGCTTTAGCATCGGTGTCATCTGCTAAAAATGCCTCAAAGCCTTTTCAGACGCGTAGCCGCGTCCTCTTGTCGGGGCGCAGCCGCGGCGCCGGCCGGCTGGGGTGCAGGTCCTGCGTCCCCTGCCTGGCCTCGCGCCTCGACGGGCACCTCGACTTGGCGCTCGGGGGCTGCCGGGGCACGCTGTGCTCCTAACGGCGGTGTTGTGACTCTGCAAATCGACCCCAAAATATTGCTCGAAATAATTAATGATTTCTCGCGGGTTCAATTTGCCGAGTCCCCAAAGTTTTAGTCAGATCCTTGATTACATCTCCGCGGCCGGTCGGCCACGACAGAGCCGTAGCAGGACAGGGCAGACACCTGGACCATGGCAGGGCAGGGCATGTTGCGCTGGTCCCTGCCGAGGCGGCATCTTCTATGCTTTCCGAGTTTTACTACTTTTCGAGGAACTCGTGTCGCAAGGGGTCGCTGATGAGCCTGTCCCTATTCTGCGTCCTTGGGTGTTACGACATGAATCGATTCCACGTGTGGAAGTCGCGATGTCTGGGAGGGGGCCCTGCAGTTCACAATTTTGTATATAAAGTCAGAATCTCTCCTGGACATCGCCAGTCGCCCAGGACAGTCCAGTAGTGTCGTGTCTGTGACGTATCTGGGTGTTGGGACGCTGGTCCGTCTTGTGAACAGTTTGTGTGGAGGAAGGGAGGAGCTGAAGCCCGTAACATCTGTTTGTAATCCGTTTGTGAATTTGGCATTTGTTTTGAGAATATAATTTGATAATTGATTTTTGATCGAGTCTTGGAATAATTGGTAATTTGTTTTTTCCTTCATTTCACACTAAATTCACATAACGAAGGTTGCGAAAAGCGGGGCACGCAACATTGGTGCATCGGCCGGGAAAGAGTAAAATCTTGAGAGGTTTTACTTTCAGCTACCAGTAACCCTTCCTCTGCTTTGGCAAACTGTGCTGAGACGTTAAATAGTTTAAGTGTTAGAGATAGAGTGCGCACTAGGGTTAGGTCTTATAGGGAATTATTTTTCGTGACTTATTTTTAAGAAGTGTTTGTGAAGTATACCATCTGCGTGCGTGTGTGTATGTCTGTGCGAGTTTGTGTGTGTGTGTGTGTGTGTGTGAGAGAGAGAGAGAGAGAGAGAGAGAGAGAGAGAGAGAGAGAGAGAGAGAGAGAGAGAGAGAGAGAGCGTTGATGGTCGGAGACAGGTCACTGTGTGTCCCCTGTGGGTTAGTGCCGAGCGGTCAGTGTGAGCGGTCAGTGATTTTCCTTCTGAATTAATTTTTAAGATGAAAAAGGCGAGAGTACCGAAGTCGGAGGATGGTTCGAAAGTGGGGCCTGTCGCCGAGCAGGCGGCTGCTTCTGCTGGTGGAAGGCAAAGCGGGGTTGCAGCGCCGGACGGCGCAGGACGACCCGCGGAGCCTGGAACCGGGGAAGCGGGCGCGGCTGGCTCCTTTCTCGAGAATCCTTTTGCAAACCTTGATCTGTCGGCTAGTGGGACGACGGCCAGTGATGGCTCGGTCAATGCTGTTGGCGGAGGGGGTGCCGTCCCGCACGGGGCCGCGTCACTCGTTGGATTTGGCCCATTGATGAGTTCAATTGAGCCGTTCAACGGGGAGACGGGGGTTAGTGCGAGACAGTTCCTGGAATCGATTAACAGTGTTGCGAGTCTGGGGCACTGGTCGGCGCAGCAATGCCTTTCAGTTGCGCGGGTTCGGCTTCGCGGCGTAGCCTTTGATTTTGTGTCCATGCACCCCAACCCTGCGGTAAGGAGCGACTGGGCGGAGTTTCAGAGTGAAATCTTAACCAGATTTCAAGCTGATGAGCCCTTGGTTTCTTTAATGCAGAGATTCTACTCGGCAGTGCAGAAACCGTCCGAGGACGTAAAGCAGTACGGCCAGAGACTGTCTACTCTGTGCCAGCTTGCGTATCGGGCGGACGATTCTGACCTGAGCGGAGCGGTTTGGAAAGTGTATGACAATATGCTTTTGTCTAGATTCCTCTATGGTCTTAAGGGCATCTCGCAAAAGGTTGTGGCAGCAGCCAAGCTCAAAGATTACAAAGAAGCATTGGCACTGGCTGTGAGCCTTCAGGAGATGGACGAGAAGGGGACAGTGGCAGTTGTCAGGGGTAATGGGGGGGATAAGAGCGCGGAGGATGAAATTGTGTGTTGGGATTGTGGGGAAATCGGACACGTTAGGCGGCGCTGTCCAGAGAGGGCGCAGGGGGAGTACCCCGAGCCCGAGGGCGACCCGCAAGACGGACCTGTATGCTGGGAGTGTGGGGAAGTAGGGCATTTCAGGCGAGACTGCCGTGACCTGCATGAGGTGCATGAGGGGCCGGCATGCTGGGAGTGCGGTGCCATTGGGCACCTTAGGCGGCATTGCATGATGCCTAAGGGCAGTCCACAGGGGGAGCCGGAGGTTTGGGGTGAACCAGAACCAGATTTATGGAATCGGAGGCTGGGGCCACCCTCGCCGTGGGGGGGTGAGGCTTCGGCTCTTTACTAAGAGCTCTGCGGTGGTGGCGGGGTGATTCCGTGCGTAGGGGGTCATTTCAGGTCATCGGGGCCTTGCGCCTGAACTGAGGTTGATTTGGTAGCTTGGGCAATTCAAATTTGTTTTACTAAACGAAGACCATGTCCTCATGTGGATAAGTCAATGTAACTTTTGTTTTTCTAGGTTTCGTAAGCTGCTAAAGTGTCGTTTTGTAAGTTCCGTCATGGTCACCAACAACTATAAGACAACATTGGCATGCTGTAGTATATGACTCAGCCACATCAAAAGAAAACTGGCTATTTCACTCTCTTCCCTGACTTATTCTTCGCAAAATTACGGAAGGTGACCCTTGTAACATCACTTGTTGAACCCGAAACAGCCTATGGGAAAATGTCCACCGTGTGACCATGTGACCTATGCTGCTTTCACAACTGACGGTCTACTGGGGTTCCTTTTCGTTTTAGAACCTCGCGACCACTTGGGATCGAAAGAACATAAAAATTGCTTCCAGAAGCCCGTGCCCGCGGGACCTGGGGCGGTCAAACGACGCTTCCAGGCCGTCAGAGTTGTTCAAAACGGCAAGGGTGTAAAAATAGATGTAAATTCCGTTTCGGGCCGTAGCTCCTCCATCTGAGGGAGAAAGTTCCCACAACCTTCGCTGAAAAACGCTATTTTGGATGCTCAAAATGACACCGTCAACAGTTTTTACCTATCTTGTAACCCAGCGGGTCAGGAGACTAAACACTTCGCTTTGTAAACTCCGTAATCTGTAAATTCCGTCATTATTTCTGTAAATTCCGCCGTATTTCATAGGGGGTGAAATTAAAAGTTAACTTGTAGCGCTGCCACGCTCAGAGGGGTACTGTGGGGTACTATGTATGCCATCTACACCAAATTTAGCCCCTAAAGTTGAACTTTAAAAAGGAACCTTTGGTACATCCAAAATGACCCTCTACGCACGGAATCACCCGGCGGTGAAAAATGGTACCATTGAAAGAAAAGTCCTGTGCCTGAGGGCAGGTGGTTCAAAGTCCTGTGCCTGAGGGCAGGTGGTTCAAAGTCCTGTGCCTGAGGGCAGGTGGTTCAAAGTCCTGTGCCTGAGGGCAGGTGGTTCAAAGTCCTGTGCCTGAGGGCAGGTGGTTCAAAGTCCTGTGCCTGAGGGCAGGTGGTTCAAAGTCCTGTGCCTGAGGGCAGGTGGTTCAAAGTCCTGTGCCTGAGGGCAGGTGGTTCAAAGTCCTGTGCCTGAGGGCAGGTGGTTCAAAGTCCTGTGCCTGAGGGCAGGTGGTTCAAAGTCCTGTGCCTGAGGGCAGGTGGTTCAAAGTCCTGTGCCTGAGGGCAGGTGGTTCAAAGTCCTGTGCCTGAGGGCAGGTGGTTCAAAGTCCTGTGCCTGAGGGCAGGTGGTTCAAAGTCCTGTGCCTGAGGGCAGGTGGTTCAAAGTCCTGTGCCTGAGGGCAGGTGGTTCAAAGTCCTGTGCCTGAGGGCAGGTGGTTCAAAGTCCTGTGCCTGAGGGCAGGTGGTTAGAAGTCCTGCGCCAACGAAGGGCAGGTGGTTCAAAGTCCTGTGCCTGAGGGCAGGTGGTTAGAAGTCCTGCGCCAACGAAGGGCAGGTGGTTCAATTGCAATGTAAGGGTCTGATCAGCCCTGTTTAGAGATATTTCACACGGGCCGATTGAAATCGGGGGTGGGTGTGGAAAGGCCGTGGAAAGGCCGCCTAGGACGAGGTTAGATAGTCCGGATTTAAGACAACTGGGTGCACGGCATGACGCTGCGCGCTGGGTCCCGGAATCACGTGGGCGGGGACGGGACGGTAGTTCATTCTGTGTAGAAGCAAGGGGAGCTGGCCTACTGCATGTGACAACTCTGATGCGGTATGGTGGTGGCAGCACCATGCGCGCAAAGGCGTTGATCAATAAATTTAGAGGAAATAATATTTTGAGTAAATGTTTTCTCAAAAGGATTTTGTATTTTATGTAACTTTGTTGTAATTTTCTGTTTAATGTTAAATGTTGTCAGATAGTTTTCAGACTGCAGTTTTAACGGGTAAGAAGAAAATGTAAAAAAAATGAGTGTTATTTTTGAAAAAAAATTAAATTTGCGTCATTTGTGTACATGACATGTTTTTTTTTGGAAAGGTAATCATATCTTAAATTGTTTGGTGTTTGGACAATGCGTGCAATGAGTAAAACTGGTTTTCCTGTGCAAAATCCATTTTCACCAAGGCGGGGGAGTCAAAATGTGTTAAATCGATACTTGTCACAATTGTTT